ATAATAGAAATAGTCATGTTTAACAATTTTTTGGCATGTAGTTGAATGTGTTCTGTAAGCATAAGTTGTTGCCAGAAAAGAGGATCTGGCAGCTACTGTGCCCTTCTATTTTTTTTTTTTTAACCTCCCTATAGGAAAGCCATTGCACTATTTTCATTTCTTTGATTCTCATGGGTAATGAAGAACTATGAAAGTAAAGTCGTCATTTCAATTTGCAAACCTGCTGCTGGTACCTGTTTCATGGTGTTTATTGTGCTAGTGCTAGTTTGTGCTAGAGCTTATATCAAAAGTATTGAGCAAGAATGCTAGATTCTTTTTTGGAAAATGAGAAGAGGAAGAAATAGGTTATTAGGTCAACAAATTGAATAGATAATGAAAATTTAATAATGAGATCTTATTGTAGAGTCATCTCTTTCTTGGGGACTCTTGCTCCTCTGGAGTCTGGACCCCATATTGTTCATCATATAGGTGCACAGTTTTCTAAAAGAACATCTCCTTTGCAGTTGGATGTCATCTACGATGCCAAATCTTATTCTTCTTCGTGCTTAGCTGATCCTATTTGTTTGGTTTAATTGTATGATATTCTTCATATAGTTTCCTAGATTTTAGCTAGAAAGATTTTATGATGCATATCTTATAATGAACTTCACTTTGATTTGAGGCAGGAATCACTTTGTTGGCATTGGGGCGTCTATCTTGTTTCATGATTGGTGTATATTATAGCATATATGAAATCAACATAAAGAATACGTAATGTTTAAGTGATAGTATCATGACTGTTGCAGTGCCTTTTCAGGTTGGTACAGGTGTAACAAATGCATTGATTAATGCTCGAAAGGCTGTCGATAAATCTTTTGCTGCGGAAGCTGAGGATGTACCGATAATATCGACCAGTGTTGCATATGGGGTTTACATGGCAGTATCTAGCAACCTGAGGTGTGTCATTATCTAAAACATTATACTACAAATGAATGCTCCTTTGTCTACTAAATTTTCAACTAAAAAATTAAATCTTATTCAAGGAAATCACATCAAGCTGTGAATGGCTGAATGCATTGCACCTTGAGGGATGATGGACGCCATAATATAGTTTTGACCAAGAAAACCATACTTGAGATATTGCATTAATTCTGACCCGTTGCATACTGTTGATGTTTTGGATAAAATAATTGCACTGCTAAGCTAATTTGACATGGAATGGAAATGCTAGCCTGCTCAAATACCATTCTTAGAGTGCTAGTGTACAAGGGTAAAAACATATCTGCTATTGTTTTACTTATCGAGAAAGCAAAAGCATAATGACCTTGAATTGGCATGCTGGTTTTTTATCTGTTCACCCCGCTTTTGATGAATGGGATTTTTTTGGAGGTTGTATCCGTTCAGCTGCATGCATAATCACTCTAATTTTGATATTGGAATTCACTGTTATTACAATGAATCCTATTCATATGAATATCTGAGGGCATTTTAATAATCTCTCTGCACAGCACAAACCTTGTTCAATTCTAGTTCCTACACCTTAAATCTGCTTTGCTCTTTGACTTCTGTATGCAGTTTATATAAATTGTGATAACAAGCGCTATACCGGTGGTACTAAGGCTTAGGGTGGTATTTCACAAAAAATGAAGTAATAGTTTGTGCTTTAACTAGTTAAAAATCTAGCCTGGGAACATCAGCAAATGATTCTGAATGAACAAGACACCTGAATCAAGGAAGATTTTTGCATGTGTGTATGATCTGGTATATATGTTCAGGAATGCAAGGGGGAATGTATATGTTTTGAAGTATTTTTTTTTTAATATTTTGATTCACATCTCAGAACTAATACTTCCACTGTGCAGCTAACACAGCTGTTAGGAATTTTTGTCATGATAAAAATGATCCGATGGTTACATTTATGTTTGTGCCTGGAAGAAGAGAAAAAAAGGACGTTGTCTTGGAAGTAATACTGATGTTCTACATGCACATGTTTAACTAAGAAGAAGAAACTATTATAAAGATGATTTACTAAAGGATGATTCACTAAGGTTGGATGAGGGAGCCTTTCTCCTCGTCCAACCCATCATGCCTAGATAATCTCCAGTTATGTAAACATCCATCCATACTTTGCTATGTATTTACTCCTGAAAAAAGCAAACGTAATTAGACCCTACTTTGCACTGAAGATGAAAGGGATTTGACAGCTATAATACCGCATTTTTGCATAAATGAATTGAGCGATGTCTGATTCTTGTGTGCATATGCAGAATTTAACAGAGGCTTTGTCTTTGTGGATGTCTTTTAGGTACCAAATACTCGCAGGAATTATTGAACAACGGATTTTAGAGCCTTTGCTACATCAACAAAAGCTTATACTAAGTGCAGTTTGCTTTGCTGTTAGAACTGGCAATACTTTCTTGGGCTCACTGTTGTAAGATTCTCGACCGAACTCGGATTATCTTTAAATCGTTTTTCTGCATCCTCTCTTTTTTAAAGAAATTTATTACATATATTCTGTAAATAGGTGGGTCGATTATGCTCGGTGGGTTGGAGTCCAGAAAATACGGGATTGAACATGCCGGTTTTCCAACTAAGAAGTACAGTATGCGTCGATGTTTCGTGAGACAGATTCAGCCAAATCATTGTATGTAATTGCTGAATTGGGTGGAGTTCCAATCAAATTTGTTTCCAGCGGGTAAACTGGCTGTACAAATAATTTATCAGAATAACAAAGATTGGTGAGTGCGAGTCTCTAGATACCACCATCACTGGTGGTCAGTGACAGCATTTTGATCCTCCATAAACTGGCATAAGTGGCTAGATGAAGTTGGGTCTCGTTTTTTTTTTTTTTTAAATAAAGTTAGACAACTGTGGAAATATCCCTCAATTGATTATGTTGATGGTGGTGGTGGTGGTGGTGGTGGTGGTGGACTGTGTTAGTGTGTAGTCTCTTATATTGAGAATGAATGGCAACAAGTTTGTGGACATTGATATTTCTCGTGTTTCCCCTACTGCTTCTTCCCATTCCCATTATTCGCTTGTCAGGGAACATGGACTCGCGCAGATAACATGATAAGGTGTGAAATGTTTAGATATGAATCATTGTCCACTTCATTTCATGCAAGAAAGGGAACTGAAGAAAGGGCATTGGAATTTTCCAAAAGTAAACTAGAGTTGCATATCTTTCTTTCTTTGTTGTTTTTAATAAATCATCTGATGTCTGAAAACCAACGTGGCAAAGTCAAGACCCCATATCAGGGGATGCAGATTAATTTTAAAAATAATGATTTAAAAAGAATTATTTAACATTTTTTTAAAAATAATCATATATTTTATAATTGTTCCCTACTTCTTGTCAAATGTTATTAAAAATATTCTCTTCCATATAAGTCACTAATTTATGATATTATTTATATATAAAAATATATAATAATTAATTAGAGATTTAAAAAAAATAAATAAATAAGTATATTCGTTTATAAAATTATGTTGGAGTTTTGAATTTAGTAATTCATAATTGAACTTAAGTTAAAATATTCACTAAAAAAGGACCTAGTTTTTAAGGAGTTCAAAATTTTGTGGCCAAAAAAAATAAAATAATAAAATATTTACTATTCATTTGCAATTTCTTTCAAGTTGAGGGGGTGCATATGCCCCCCCTCAAATACATGTAGCTCTGCCATTAGCTCTAACTAATTTAGATTGAGTTTGATCTAGACCAAGTTTCACCATAAAACACTTACATTTTTAAAACTCACACTCAAAACCTTTAATTAATTTAGTATAATTTTTAAAACTGTTTGGATAATTTGCTTTTAGCTTTTAGAAAGTCTTTTTTAGCACTTTATAAAAGTTGAAAACTGTTTGTATAAAAAATTTGGGATGAAAATTCATTCTAAATGTATAGTTTGAAAGTAGTTAAAAGTATATTTTTCAAATGTAACTCCTCACAGCTTTTTAAAAGTGAATTTTGATAGTGCATTAGAGTGTTAGTTATTACCATTTCTTATTCAGGCTAATTTGAACTCTCATTGTATAGGATCATTATTTATTAATAATGTTAATGTATATTAAACTGTTTATTTAATTTTTGTCTAATATATCAAACTTTATATTTTTTTTTATTGTAATTATTTAACACATGAAATTTTATGTTATTTAAAATTTTTATCACATATATTTTTCAACATTTCTAATATATTCTATAACAAAAATTACAAATTATAAAAGTGAATGTCTTTTTTGGTCATAGTAATTCATAAGTATCTTTTATTATGTATAATCTCAACAATTTTTAGTTTACTAAGTTAACTTTAAAAAAATATTTAAATACAAATTTTGTTAAAATAATTGATGTTCATTAAATTGATTTTTGTTGAATAATTTTTTAATAAATTAACTTTTGACAAATGAAACCAAAAGAGCACTAAATGCGTAATTTTATAAATGCTACTTGATTTTATTTTATTAAAATATAAGAATAAAATTTTATTAAATTTAAATTGTCTAAATTGGCCAAAATTGGATCCATGAAACCCACTTTACTCGAGAAATACCCTTAAACCCCAAAATTGCACAACTTCTATCTAATGTGTTTTCAATAATTTCATTGTAAATCTAAACTATTCAAATGAAATTTTAACAGTATAAATTAATTTATATTTCTTAAAAAAAATTATGATGTAAAAGTATCAAATATTAAATTAAAATATTTATATTAAACAAATCAAATTGGGGTAGAAATGGCGAAAAATGCAGCATGTCAGCCTCTGAAGAAAAATGCCGTCAAATCGGTTTGATCTTCCCGCTTCAGCAATGTCTGGTCCGACACAGCCCAATCTTGTCTGAACCCAAAAAAACCAGCCTGAACCAAAAGATGACCACACCAGATCGGGTTGGTTATCTGGGTCATACCAGGTTGCAGGTTGCCTCTGTAGGCCAAACGGTCTGGTCTGACCCGGTACTCTCTTTAAAAAAAATGAAAACATTAAAAGGCTGTCTTGTCCCAATATTGGCCGAACCCCAAATTCATTCATCTGCTGAACTACCGAAGCTCATCTTCTCACACTTCTCGTTTCACTTTCGGCGGCCGACCACCATCATAATCCTCACTTTTCTGTCTCAACTTCGGCCGTCCACTAGCCTTCCTCTCATCTTCTCCATCAATTCGTCCTCTCACTCTCCTTCGCAAGACGATCATGAAAAGCTGTAAAGAGAGCTACAATGAGGAAGAGAGTATGGAATAGTCGAGAGGCAATGATGGGACCTTCATCGTCCAGATCTAGTGATGCTCAGGCTCAGGCATGATTCACAAATGGAAGTCCGTTTGCTTTCGCTACTGGTGAGAAGGCTGCTGTTTTGTTCTTATGCTTTCCTGCCATCGATGTGCATTGTTCTTCTCACCATCGACCTATTCTTCTTCTTCCTCCTCTATTGCTATCCATATTTTGTGGGTCTGTTATTGTGAAAAACGTTAGCTTTTTGGAGTTTCTTTCCCATCCTTTAGAAACATGATGTTGATAATTATTTTGTCTAATTTTTTTTCATTTTTTTGCTTTTTTTCTTGTTAGATTGAATATATATCCCTGAACAGAATGCTTTTCCATCTTCTCCTTTGCCTGTTTATCAATCACAAAAAGGGAAAAAAGAATTTATTCCCATGGAATGGCCTTCCACTTGGACCTCGTTGTTACAGAAATGCTCCTCTCTCTCTCACATCAAGCAACTCCAAGCTCATCTTATCACCACCGTCCAATTCCAATCCCACTCTTCTCGCACCAAGCTCCTTGAGCTTTGCGCCATTTCACCCTTCGGTGACCTTTCTTTTGCCTGCGAAATTTTCCGGCAAATCCAAACACCGTCCACCAATGATTGGAATGCCATTGTTCGAGGCTTAGCGCAGAGCTCACACCCCACACAAGCCATCTCATGGTACCGCACCATGTTGCGGAGGTCCCAAAGGGTGGATGCTCTAACTTGCTCGTTTGTACTGAAGGCGTGCGCTCGTGCTTTGGCTCTCTCTGAAGCCTCACAGCTGCATTCTCAGATTGTGCGTTTAGGAGTCGAAGCTGATGTTTTGTTGCAGACCACCTTGTTAGACGTGTACGCTAAATCGGGTGATCTCGATGGTGCACAAAAGGTGTTTGATGAAATGGGTTTGCGTGATATAGCTTCGTGGAATGCATTGATTTCTGGGTTGGCACAGGGGAATCGGCCCAACGAAGCCATGGCTTTGTTTAACAGAATGAAGGAGCAGGGTTGGAAGCCAAATGAGGTCACTGTTCTCGGTGCACTCTCTGCTTGTTCACAATTGGGTGCTTTGAAACAGGGTGAAAATATTCACGGGTACGTAGTGAATGAGAAGCTAGACATGAATGTAATTGTTTGTAATGCAGTTATTGATATGTATGCAAAATGTGGGTTTGTAGATAAAGCATATTCGGTCTTCAATAACATGAGTTGCAGGAAAAATATTATTACATGGAATACAATGATTATGGCATTAGCAATGAATGGTGATGGACACAAGGCATTGGATCTTTTGGGTCAAATGGCTCAAGATGGAGTGAAGCCAGATGCGGTATCATATCTTTCTGCATTGTGTGCATGCAACCATGCTGGTTTGGTGGAAGAGGGTGTTAACTTGTTTGATTCAATGATGAAGTCTGGGGTTAAACCCAATGTTAAGCATTATGGTAGTGTAGTTGATTTGTTGGGTCGAGCAGGAAGGCTCAAAGAAGCTTGTGACATTATAAACTCTATGCCTATGTTCCCTGATGAAGTACTTTGGCAGACTTTGCTTGGGGCCAGCAAGACATATGGGAACGTCGAAATGGCAGAGATGGCATCAAAGAAGCTGGTAGAGATGGGATCTAGCAGTTGTGGAGATTTTGTGTTGCTATCAAATATTTATGCAGCTAAAAAGAGATGGGATGATGTAGGGAGGGTGAGGGAAGCCATGAAAAATAAGGAGGTAAGGAAGGTGCCAGGATTTAGTTACATGGAAGTAGAAGGTGGGTTACACAAGTTTGTAAATGGTGATCAGAGTCATCCGAATTCCAGGGAGATCTATGCAAAGCTGGATGAGATTAAGTTCAGGATTAAGGCCTATGGATATACAGCTGAGACTGATCTGGTATTGCATGATATAGGGGAGGAGGACAAGGAGAATGCTTTGAATTATCACAGTGAGAAGTTGGCAGTGGCATTTGGGTTAATTAGTACAATCGATGGAACATCAATTCAAGTTATAAAAAACCTTAGAATATGTGTGGACTGTCATGCTGTGATGAAAATTATATCAAAGATTTATAGTAGGGAGATCATTGTGAGAGATAGAGCACGGTTTCACAGATTTAAGCAGGGTCTATGTTCTTGCAAAGATTATTGGTAAAATGCAATTTTGTTTGTAAGCAGTTTCAATGGAGATATTGGAGATAATATTAAGTATTCATTCATTTGAATGTTCAAAGAAATTGGAACAATAATTTTTCTCATAATTGCATCTCGATCTCTGTTTGGCAAGAAGAATAATTGGGATGAAACAAACTGCCGAAGTTTTGTGATCAAAGGTAAATGTTGGGCAATGAAGTTTAGTCAAGTTAATGTCTATGGAGACTCTACAAAGAGTTTTTCGCTAATCATCTTCTTGCTGCAACTATCAATAACATTAGAGAACTTATGATGAGGGATTGGAATATCATCTTTAACTACATTTTTAGAGAAGTTAATAAATGTATTGATTTGATGGCTCATTTAGCATTTAGTGATAATTTAAATGTTCAGATTTTTGATAATCTGTCCTCAGGTTGTATGAATATTTTATATGTCAATAAGACTTAGGTTGTCTATCTGTATGAGTTAACCCTGTGGCCTTCTAAAAAAAAAAAAGAGTAAATGTTTATGTTGACAATGTTCTTACCTGGCCTTTTCCATAGTTTCTCTTAGTAGTATTGATGCTTTGAGTTTCTTTCGTCTTCTATGTTATACTTATCAATGAAAGGGAGAAAATATACAGACGTAAGCCATTGCGATTTCATTGTGTTGCCACTATGGAGAGCAAAAAATGTTTAATTGATGAATATCAGGAAGCTTCTCCTTGCTATTAGAGATAAATCATTGTATGAGAATTACTAATTACGTGTTAAGTGTATGAAAAAAATGGTCTCTAAAAATGAAAAGAGAAATGCATGCATTTTTCTCATTTTCTTTCTAGAAAGCATTTTTTCTTATACCAAACTTGCTAAATTTTTCGTCACAATGCTAGAATTACCAATTAAAAATTGATCATATGTATAATATCAATAGAAAATCTAACACAAGACACCACACACTACTCAATAGCGTCACAGGTGTCATATATTTAATAATTAGATTTCATTTTAAGAAGTGTTTGTAATGCAACATAATATTAGTGTCATATATAGAATAACGAGATTTCATTTGTTATAACACAATGACCTAACATGTTATGGATAAAATATTGAGATTTCTTTTTTTTTTTTTAATAACATAATGACTTGACATGAACGTACGTAGAATGATAAAATTTCACCTTGGAAGGTGCTTATGACACAACAATGTGACATAAGCATCATACATAAAATGATAAAATTCTACATTGAAAAGTACCACATCATACATGTAATGATAAGATTTAGTCAAGCTAAGTGAAGATTTGTCTCGAGAAAAGATTGAATTATACTCTTTATTTCTCGAATTCTACAATATAGATATAGATTGTCATCTCCAATTCAACTAAGTTTCTTATAGCATGATTAACTAAACGTCTATACCAAAAGGTGGGAAATTTAGATCTAGCAATAATAGAAGGATGAGAGATGAGATCACATTGAATGATAAATTTAAATAAGGTGTATTGTTCAAAGCCTGTTTTAGTTCATTACAATCGTACTTTGTGCTCCTTGAACTTAATAATATATGGCCCTGTTTAGCACAAAAGATTGGAGAGGTGAGATTGGAATTGAAACTAATCAATATCACCTTTTTATGTTTGGTATGAGATATTAGAACATTTAATACCAATGCCAACCCCATTTATAAAGGATTATCCAATACCAGCAACTCCCATAGTATTGAAAAATCAATTCTAAAATTGATTGTTTTGTAACCAAATTGCCCTTCTCATCCTCCCTCCCTCGTCTCTCTCCCCAACCCTCCGCCCATCACTCATGCGGCCAAGCTTCTTCTACCATGGTCGCCTCCCTTTGTCGGTGCCGTCGTCCCCAAAGCAATGACCTTCCCCTTCCGTCCATCTTCCTCCCACTAGTTCAAGTTTCCATTGATGAGTTTGAGTAACTCAACTTCGCCAGATTTATGTTCTCCTTCATCCCACCATCATTGCCAGCGAGGCGCGAGGTCTCCCACCCTTGCAATTCTGAACAATTAGTCACGAGTTCATATCTGTGTATTTTTCATTCCTCCTTTCCTTTTGATATTTTTTGGGTTCAAACATAAAAAAAAGATCTAGTTTGTTAGCAAAACTGGAGACTAGTGTTAAGTTCAAATCTATATAGTTTTCATCTCCATCGCTAAGTCGTTTTGGCTGCCATCTCTGTCGCACTAGTTCGAGTTTGAATCTGCTTGCCTTCACAATTACTCATACCTTTCGCTGAGTATTTTATAATCAATCACACTTGCTCGCACCTTTTAATAGTAAAATGCATGAAGATGATGAGCTGCTCATATCTTCTCACATCTAGTTGGAGATTGATGTAGATTCAACTTTAAGACTAAGTTTGAAATAAGGTTGAAGATGAACTATGCCAGATTTGAGTTTAGGACTTTTTTTTTTAATGATAAGGGTCATTATAGTCTTTTGATAATTTTCGATTGATTATAAAATAAAATTATTGCAAATATTTCGTCCAAATATTACTCCATACGAAACATACTTTTAAAGTTTTAATTTCAATACCAATCTCAATCTCAATTTTAATATCAATCCCTTAAAATTCATACCCTCATACCAAACAAGGCCTGTGGGGCACAGAGGTTTCCAAGCAATAATACTGCAGTCCTAACTGAACAATTAGAATATTAACAACTACTTTTTCACTCGGAAGAAAAAAAAAGAATATTAGCAACTACTCTGTTTGTGTGATTTTAACCATGATGTAATGAATAATATAAGAATGTCTGGGTGGTAGAGATGGATTTCTAGCTTATGCTTCGCATGAAGTTTTAAGTGAATTATATTATTCATTACTATATATTTTACTCTGTGTAATGTTTCTCGTAGGTGTTAAAATTGATTCCTTTTTTCTTCAGTTTAGTCAAGCTGGGCCTAAGAGACTAAGGGCATGTTACAAATCCCAAATTGTCCATTACTCTCTCCAACTATAATACAAGATATTAAAAACTATTTTATGGTTTTTTTAAAAAAAAGTTAAGTGAAATATTAATCTTTTAAAAAAAATTATATCTTTTCAATTATATTTTTATTAAATATCTTCTGTATGAATGTTTTAAAATGATAATTAAAATTTTAATGCATCATTTTTTAAAAGAAGTAATAAATGAAGAAGAGTTATGATTGAAAAAAAACAATTATAAAACTTGCTTAATGTCCTATATTTTAAATTAAATAAAACTTCTAAAATACTCATCTGATTTTATTTATAGGGCAGAGAGAAAAAAAAATTTTGATTCTATTTATAGGGCACTTGTCAATTTTTATTGCTTCTCTTTACATTCTTGCCCTAGTTAAATGCTTTGAATAAAAATATCAATAATAAGATTTAAGAATATGTATTAGGGGTAAAGGTATAAACTTATTAAATTCTAAAACAAAGTTAATAAAATTTAAGGTTTTTTTAATTTTAATAAAATATATTAAAAATAACTTATAAATAGAAATAGAGAAAGTATGTGGTCTAATAGGAGTACTTCTTAAATGAAGATTGATTTTTTTTTTTTTTTTTTTTGTTGTTGGTGACATTGTCTGGAGCTTTTGTGAATGAGCTACTATTTTGTTCATGCACCACAACTTTGAAAAACTCGTGTGTGGCTGCAGTTTTTTAAAAACTGGGTAAAGCTAAAGAAAGTACTTTCTTTAGTTAATTAGGAGGAGTTCGAAATTGACTAATTAAATAGAAAAATAAATAAATCCATAAGACTAGTATTTGAATTGACATTCCAAGGCTCCACGGTAAAATTAACATTAATTATTTAGGACGTCAAATTTGACAGTTTGACACACTAAATTTGACACACTAAATTTCAGCAGAAGATCGACGCGCATTCCAACAGGACCCCAAAGACCAGAAGCTCAATTGAAGTTTTGAATTCAACATGTGGAGTCCCACTTGTAAAAATTCACAGGTGACAAATTGTAATATTCTAGTTTTATTCAAGAATTTAATTAAAAAAATATGAGGTTTAATTAAGAACTAAATTGTATTTTGAGAAAAATCGATGTTAATGGGTGTGGACTCTCTTCTTGTGTAAAAAAAAAAAAAAGGTTCAATATTAAAACTTATTATGAGTCTCACTAAATAAAGCGGAGAGAAATCAGATTATGTCATAAGATAGAGGTTATATTTAGGATTAAATTAGAGCCATTTGAGAGAGAAGAAAAGAAAAGAAAAACTATTTCTCATTTTTATAGGGCAGTTTTGGCAAATTGGTATTTTAAAAATTCCCATTAAATCAGGCTGAAAGTTGGTCAGCATGTTCATAACATGAAACTCGTCATTTTCAATAATTGGATCGTTGATTCACCCCCTAATGTGAAAGTTATTCACTTCGTCATTCATAACTATTTTTGCCTCTTCATAGGGTAATTGGCATTTGCGAATTTGTTAACTGTTGAATTGGACTAAAATTTAATTGGTAAGTTTGCAACATCCAACGCTTCATTTTTAATGGTTGGATCATTGTTTTGTAGTTTGATATGAGAGTTATTCCCTTTATTATTCATATGAGATTTGCTTTGGTTAATGAGATCGACTAATATAACCTTAAGATTAGTATGAGATTATTATCAAAAACTAGAGGTAACCATTTCTTGATGTTATATTGTATGTTTTGTGGTTAATTAAATGTATTTTTAAATTATAAAATATTTGTGTTGAGAACCCATATGTTAGATTAAATTCTATTTTGTTGAGAAAATGTATTACCAAGTGGGATATTAACTATTTATGAAAAAGTGTTTAGATTAAAAAATATATTAAAAGCTTGATTTTTAATATGTTATGTAACTATGTATATTGGTACTGTTTATAATTGCATAACATGTTAGTATATAATTGGGAATCATATGTTAGATAAATGTTGTCACTCAGTATGCCCTCATTAGGCCTAAATGGATAGCATGTGTGGCTTGGACTAGTCCACTTTTGGCCAAGTGAATTAAAGTATTGAACACGATGTATGAAGGATATAAGAAGTTGTCATACCATATCTATGTATTTGCAAATTAAATATATAATCATTTTAAAAAGGTGTTTTATTTCCACTCAGCAATATTGATTGCTTTACATACTTTATTCCATCATAGGATTGGTTACTATTAATTAGCATAATTGTATTGTGTAGATTGTGTTATGGACACCAGGCGATCATTTTTATGTTTGGAGAACCTTATTATCAACAACTTAAGGTAACCATTTTTTAATTATAAAATATTTGTATTGAGAACCCAAGTGTTAGATTAAATTTTATTCTATTAAAAAAATGTGTTGTCAAGGGGGGTATTAATTGTTTATGAGAAAATGTTTAGATTAAAAAATATATTGAAAAGTTTGAATTTTATTATGTTATATAACCATATGTATTGGTACTGCTTTTAATTGCATAACATAGGATTTGTTATTGGGGCCATTAC